TTTCCCTAAATAATACGAGCCTTTTGATCAAGGTATGCTGTCTTAAGAGTCAAATGTCTCCATTTGAGCTTATATACTGACATTCTGAACTCAAGTTATGACCATGAGGGAGTGGCCTAAAAGGACACTGTTTCTTTGCATAGCCTAGCATTATCAAGAACAGATCTCAAAGCCAGGATGTGAACACTACTGTTGAGAATGGAGGTCCATACAGTGTTCAAAAAACAGAATTGTAAATTGCACATTCCTTTAAATGTGATTCTGAGTGGCACTTGTCATATAATTAGCAAATAAACTTTAAAATCACAGTTTCACAGCTAAAATACTTTAAAAACCCCCCATACATCACCTAACATTAGTAAATCATTTAGACTTACAACTAAAAAGGTTACATTGAAAGTCTGTACTCTGAAGAAAGAAAGTACATGTGCAGGAAAAAAAAAGTGTCAGGTTATTATTAATTCCCCATTACTCTTAGTAGCTTCTAATCCACTACAAACACACACACACACAAAAAGAAAAAAGAAGAAGCAGCAAACCACAGTGTGCTTGCAAAAGACCAGGAAGAAAAAGAAATTCAGGAAGTGACCCTGCCCCATCTTACATTACTGGGAGAGGACAAGAAGCTAGGACTGCAAGAAGGGGTTTAATGTAGCCAGCTGGTAATCAGATTACTCTCATTAAACTTGGAAGAGTTTACATTTACGCTGGTAAATGATGGCTCTCTATTTCTTTGCCTTTATACCCAAACCAACTTACTCAAAAAGGTAACCTAACCTTTCTAACCCATCTGCACGTATTTCCCTTGAGAACAACAACAATGAAAAAGTTTAGTATATAGATAAATATAGGTTACTATCAGGAAATTGTCATCTGCTGTGCAGTCATGCGAAACTACAGTTTAGTTTTTACTCAAGTTTCAAACCTTTAACTTTCAAACTGGGTTTTCCAGGTGCTCAAGTAACTGCTTTAAATCTGATTTGTAACAATACTACAGAATTATTAATTAAGTGAGAAACAACAGATGCAGTAGATATTAAACACAGTATTCCATAAAAAGAGTGCTACCTGCTGAGAAGAAAAATCACAGAAATACTTTTCCCAGGCCCTTATCCTGTTACCTTGTGGCACTGGACAAACCCTAATTTCCATGCATAACCTAATTTCTAAGAATCTCAAGAATACCTAATAATCTTGAAAATATGAAAAAACCCAAACCACATGTGAAGGGGCAGGGCAGGGGGAAGCATTATTTTGGGATACAACCCCAAATACATTTAGGTTACAATGCACAAAAAGTGCTCAGCTTAGTAAACTAGCGAGGTCACTCAGAAAAGAGGTTTGGTGGAGAGTAATCAGCGTCACGTTCCTTCTGCAGGTGTTACCCCATCGTCCTTCTGGGAGCTGACAAAACAGAACCCACAGGTTCAGAACCTGACACATCAACCTCCAGCATAAACAAAGCTCTGCAATTTAACTGAGTTGTTTTGAAATCCAGGTGGCTGGGAGGTGCAACCCATCTGCACAGGCTCTCTCATTTCAGAGCTGAAAGTGCATCCAACATAGTTCTAGCAGAGCAAGTGTTACATACATCTGTGGAAACAAGAATGTGGAAACTAAAGCCTTTCCCCACTAATCTCCACATTAGTATTTGACAATAGACTGAAAATAAAATAATAGATGGAGAAGAAAAATGAAATGAAAACATGCATGCACAAAGGAAAAAAAAAAGCACAAAACGCTGTATGCAAAGACTTAAATTGTCAAA